AAAAACCAAAAAAAAAAAAAAAAAAAAAAAAAATAAATTCCAGTTGAATCCTACTTCATTTTTTAAATTATATATAATTCAATGCTCCTCATCCCTGACATGTAAGGTTTGTAAGTTTCATCTTTTCTAAACTATTTTAGTAATATTAACTTGTATACTTTAACAAATTAACTTAAAATTTTCATTTCAGACACAGCAGGGCAAAATAAGCAATTGCAGCCATTCCTTCCTGTCTTGGTTACATTTCTCTCCTTGCTGAGACAAAACATTCACCGCCCAAAATTAAGGAAAGAAAGGTTTATTTAGCTTACAATTTGTGGAGGTTTCAGTCTATAATCAGCTGGCTCTAAGGCAGGTTTCAGTCTATAATCAGCTGGCTCTTTTCCTCCCTTATATTGTAAGCAGGCTCCCCCCACCCGGGGGGCTTGTAGCACTCACATCATCTCCACACCCTCCTCCTGCACAGGCTCAGGATGTTACATAGTAAGGACGCTGGCCCCCTGCTCAGTCACTCCTTTAACCTTCTAAACTTCTCAAGTTGACACAATGAACAACATCCTAGAGCAGAAAGAACATGTCCTTTTCACCCCAGGATGTAGAACTGCTGTTACTTAGCTGAGCCTCTAGACTCAAGTTGAAATAATGTTATCAACCATAACACTTTCCTATGTCAAATATACTCTGTGATGTGCACATATCAAAGCTAGTTATCTAAAGCTAGTTATTAAGGTCACAAAATATGATTTTCCAATTTGCCAAGTGCAAACTAGGTAGCTTCAGAGGCCTGTTAAATTAGTTTATTTCTATACAAAAAACTAAAGGAATATGTTTACTTAATCCTTTATAGATAATATGTGTAGGTAAGAAACCATGGTTTAGAGAAATTAACTAGCCACAAGCTAGTCAGCAGCCATTAAGATTTTCCTGCACTTTAATTTCGTATTTCTATAGCTATTGGCATTTTATCTTTTTTTGAGGGTCTCACTATGTAGTCTAGGCCGGCCTCAAAATGGCAGTGATCCTCTCCTGCCTCAGCCTCTGAATCCTGGGTATACGGATGTGCTCTCCATTATTTTACTTTTTTTTTTTGGTACCGGAAATCAAACTCTGGACCTTGCACTTGCCAGGCAGGCACTTGTGCCGCTGAGCTATTATCACCGGTCTCCATTATTTTACTATGCTGTCATGAAACAGGTTTTGTCTTGATGCCTGATACCAATAATTTACCTTACTGGAATTGATTTGTAAAGTTCTCAAATTCAGAATCTCTGAAAAATGACAGTTACACTGGTTCATTTATTATTCACGCTCCCACATCTCAAAAGTACTCAGTACCTTTGAGTGTGCGATAAATGTTAAATACTAATTATGGCTTCAAGGCGTGGTGGTGCACGCTATAATCCCAGCACTTGGGAGCCTGAGGCAGAAGGATCAGTTTGAGGCCAGCCTGGGCTGCATAATGAGTTCAAGCCCAGTCAGAATTACACAGCAAGACCTTGTCTTGAAAAAAACAAAGAAACAACTACTTTTGGAAGATGTGAATATTAAATCCAGCAACTTGTTTTGCTATTAATTCACATTTGACACAACCATGTCTTGTTTTTCTTTCTCCGGTACCAGGAATCGAACTCACAACCTTGCACTTGCCAGGCAGGCGCTGTGCTGCTGAGCTAAATCCCCAGCACCCCATGTCTTGTTTGTAAGACAGGAACAGTTACATTCTAGCTTATCCAGAATGCATATAGTGTTGTGAAGTGTCTAACACTATAGCAGGCTTAATTACTTCCACTTTCCTGAATGAAGATTTTTCATTTGAAACTTGTACTCTCACAATTCTATCTTAATCTATCTCAAGGGTCTGACACAGAACACCAAACACTTTCACTTAGTCCTGTCCCAGGTAGCATAACTCTGCCTCCGTGCTAACCTGGCACTCTTAGATGGTCGCTGTGCAGCAGACTCTGTCCTATACTTCAGACTCTCACCTAGCCTTTACAATAACCTAGCAAGAACGCACTGCTATTATTCAAGCTTTATATGAAAACACCAAGGAACAGACACCAGGAAACTTACCAAAGTCCCACGTACTAAGTGTTGAGGCTGTGTTGGGAACTTGACTATTCTAACTCATCTGCTCTTAACCACTCTTCTCTGGCCTCTCAAGGGTAAAAGACAATGCAACTCAGAGTAACTCAAAAACACCCTGGTATCTGGGCATGGTGACGCATGCATGCAATCCCAGCACTTGGGAGCCCGAGGCAGGATGGTTGCAGGTTCAAGACCAGCCTGGGCTACATAGTGAGCTCAAGCCCTGTCTCAAAAAAACCCGAAAACACCCTGGTGAGTAACTCTGAAATCTGTGTTTTTTCTACTTTTATCAGAAAAGGAAGTATGGGATTGGACTCTAAAGTTAGAAAGGCTGGGTTGAGATTCTCCCTCTGTTACTTAATAGCTAGGTGACTGGTCAAGTTCATTCTCTTTGCCACAATTTCCTCATCTTCAAAATGTGGACAATAGAATACCACATAGGGTTGTCAGGAATAAGGAAACAAGTAGAAACAAGGTACTCAGAGTAGTAAGCACTTGAGGCTTTCACTTCCAACCTACTTCTTTAAGAAAACCAAAAACAACTGGCCACATGTGCTACTCTGAGGAAGCAGCTGTACACCAGGGATGAAGAGAATAGATGCTCTTCATTTATTAAGTCAGTTTGGGTTCAAATCCCAAGCAGGTGTCCCTCAGAAAGTTAACCTCCTAGAGCTTCACCTCATCTGTGACACACAGAACAGTTCCAGCTCATATTACAGGTGAGATGACGTGACTTGGAGCTGGTACATGGCGAGTGTTGGTAACTGTTAACTACTGATCATCCTGCATCGCTAGCAGTTACAGCACATTTAATGAGCAAGCAGTGGCAGAGCTAAGAGTCTTGTTCTTTCCTTCACCAGTCCTCTTGTTTTTCTTCCTTGGCATCATCCTAAATATTTTAAAATTAATTATCAACATTTCCCTCAACATAGGGACTAGACTAACTGCAAGGAAAATGCACTTTTGTTACCTCTTGAAGCTGCCACTTAATCTTTTAAAAGTTCTAGCAAATTGCAAACCACCAGCGCAGAAAGAGAAGCACAATTTTTGCCTTATTTATCACACGCAGGACTGTTAGAAAATATTCACAATTGGTATAATTAAGGCACTATTTTTCCTTTTTCTACTTGTAATCAAAGTTCTTCTTTATTCCTAAACTTTTACCACAAAATATATAAAATCCACCTCAACATTAGACTCATGGATTAGTAAGTATCCTGTCCAAGTAGTAGGTAAATATATGGCAGAACTATTTTTATAGACTATCTTACATATTGCCCAAGGTTAAAAAGTTACTTGTTAACTACTGTTAACCACAAGTGCTTCAGTTCCATTGAAACACTCCACAATTAACTGAGTGGGAAACTTCCCCAGGCTAATACTTAACAAAACAATGCACAACTTTTTCAGCATCATCTTTCCCCAGTCATCTCCACACTGCTCCCACAATTCTTAATGACTTTAATATCAACTAAAGACTTTAATATCAACATAAATTAAGCAGTAACCCCCCCACGTGAATATTTAAACTTAATGTATTAACACAATCACTTTAGTTAAAAACAAAAATTTATTAATCTAACATGATTGACAAAAACCTTAATTAAGCAAATACTTTACTTAAGCTTAATGCTCTTTTTAACTCCTGCACGGATGCCTGATAATTCACCACTATAACGTTGCTCTTCTCTTCGAACTTCACGAACCTGGCCTCTTCTTCGAATTTTGGCTCTTCTGAACTTCTCCCTATGTTTCACTCTGGGATTGCGATCAATCTTTTTTCTCCTAGGTGTGAGTCCCCTATTTTTAGCAATCTGATAGGTAATGGCTCTCTTGGAATTCTGATCTTCAAGAGCCTGTTCTTCAGCGCTGGTTTCTTCTTTCTTTCTCTTTAACTTTTGCCTGTCCTCTGTTTCTTTATAGTATTTCAGCGCAGCTTCTTTATCAAAATCTGAATCATCAGAGAGATTTCCAGAAACAGAAGTCTCTGAAGCAGACTTTGGTTTGGCTTTGGTGAGTTTTGATTTGGGGTTCAGTTCTTTCTTTACAGCACAATTCTTAAGTGTAAGTAGATGTCGAATTTCAGAAGACAGCTTCTGATCCACAACTGACAGCTTGTTGATCAGATTTCGGTAGGTAACAAGCCTTTCTATGACAGGATGTCCATGTGCGGGGACTCTCCTAGCTTTCAGGATCAAATAAAAACTGATGTTGGAACAATAGTTCAAGTACAGATTATACTTGGTCCTCAGGTATTGGCTTCCTTTGCCGGGTGGAATGATTCCTTGCTCAACCAACTCTAAGAGTGGCTCTAGCTCATCTTTCACTTCTCTTAACTTGACTTTTAGATCCTCTATCAGCTCCAAGAGCTCTGGTGATTCCTTTCGCAGCATCTTCAGTTTCTCTTTCACTGAAACTTTTGCCAAATCCTTCACGACCCGTGTCTCAGCCTCTTCTGCCTGAGGCACGGGTTTTGCAAAGGCCTCCACCCAGGCGACTCCAAAGTCCTCCTCTTGCAGGGCTTGGGCTAGGCGCCGCTGAATGATCTGCGCCTCCTCCTCTTCCTCTCGCTCCTCCTCCTCTACTTCTTGTTGAGTCTGCCGGCCTCGGGATTTGGAGCCATAGTCCGTGTCGTAGTAAAGTTTCTTCCTCTGACCCCAAGACAAACTGGGGTCCACAGAGGCCTCAGCCTCACTCTGCACGGAGCTCCCGCCGTCGTCATCATCATCGCCATCCTCCTCCTCCTCCTCCTCCTCCCCCGAACTCTCTCCGTCTTCCTCTTCATCGTCAACATCTAGGGCTAGCACCTCCTCCTCGCCGTCCTCTTCCTCCCCGCTCTCTACCTCGCTCCAGCCCTTGGCCAAGGCTGCCCGGGCTCGTGCCTCATGGAAGTCATCTACCTCATCCTGGTAGTAGCTGGAGTCCCCGGGTGAGGGTGGCCCACCTAAATCGTCTTCATTTTCGTCTGCCGCGGTGCGACCTCCTCCGGCTTGCACAGCTGCCCACCGCGCGGCTCCACGCCGCCGGGATCTGCCCACCATGGCTCACACACCGCCTCGGCTTCTGCAGCGACGCAGGATTCGGCCACTTCTGAACAAACAGTAAGAACCACGCGAGATGGCGAGTGCCCAGGCAGCTACAGAGACTTCCACTTCCTTCCTGGGCGAGGGGCGGGACTTCCGTTTTTGGCTCTTTTCTTTTGGCTGTGCCCCTTTTCTGCTCGTGAGTTCCGGCGAATTAAAATCTCTCCCTGTGGGAACAACAGGATAAGAAATTGGGTTCCGGTAGGGTATGGTGGCGCACGCCTGTCATCCCAGCGCTCGGGAGGTTGAAGCAGGATTACTGCGAGTTCGAGGCTAGTCTGGGCTCCATAGTGAGTGCAAGACCAGCCTGCGCTACGCGGCGAGTCCCTGTCTAAAAAAAAAGAAAAAAAAAAAAAAAAAAAAAAAAAAGAAATTGCGTGCTGCAGAACTCTGTCGCGAGATTTCCGTTCTCTCGCGCGCGAGCCCGGAGGCCGGAAGTGAGTCAGCCCGCGAGGCGAGTCGCTGCACCCACAGAGGGCGCTGTCCGCGCGCTGGGCGTCTGCGCGCGATTGCGTGTGGGCGGCCCGCAGCATGAGGTTGGCGAGCGAGTGAGGGAGCGGCCGTGTTTTCTCTTCGTCTGACGGCGTGGAAGTTAGGTGGTTTGCTCTCTGGTTTCTCCGCCGTAAGCCGCAGACGCCGTGTCCGGAGCAGCCCCGGGGGAGGCCCGGGCCCGGTGGCTCCGTCTGTGGAGTGAGCTCCGGCCGCCCGCGCCCAGGGCTTCCTCCCCGGTCCGGGTCCGAGCGCCAGTCCCTCGGCTCCCCGCAGCGCTGGCGGGCCCCTGCCTGCACGTAGGCTGCGCTGCTGGCGGTCTGTTCAGCCGGATCTGCCGAGTGGACGGGTGTTGCGCGTACCCCATCTGATTGCGTCTTAGGTGCTGTCTCAAGCCCAGTGAGTGGTGACGCCCGAGGCAGCAGCCCTCTCCGCGGGAGATAACCTGGCTAGAGCGGGGTTTAGGAACCGTTAATCACAACTTTGATTTGGGACACAAGGAAGCAGACCGGGGCAATCACGCTAGCGAATCTGGCACGGAAACCAGGGACATCCTCTGGGGACTGAACCGAGGCCCTTTGCACTGCGCTACATCCCCAGTATTTTTTATTTTGTGACGGTCGTACTAAGTTGCCCCAGCTAGCCTTGAACTTGGGAACCTCCTGCCTCAGCCTCCCGGACTTTGCCTCTTTAATGTGAATGAATTTCAGACCTTTTCCAGAGGAGAGAGTGAAAAATCGAAAAGCACAGATTACTACTGTATATTTAAGGAAGAAAAGTGATAATAAGAGAAGAACTAGTTACGCTGGTCTTAACATGTATTAGTAGAGGTTTGAAAGGACTGCCCTGTAATCTTGGTTTAAGTTTTGGTTTCCGGACACTGCATGTAGGTTCAAAGTTAGTGTTATGACACTCAAGTGTAGGAAGTTGGAAGCTGAACTCTTTGCTCAAATTAATGGTGACATGACATCTTTACAGAAGTCAAGAATATAATACACATTTTCAGAAAAGTAATGTGAACTAAGCAGTATTTTAAAAGTGCTTAAAGGTGTCTTAAGCATTTAAAAACCTTTATGAAATTTTAGAGAATACAATTTTCTTTGGAGACAGGGTCTCCCAATGTACTTGAGGCCGACCTCGAACTCACTGTGTAGCCCAGGTTGCCCTTGAACTGGTAGTCCTGCCTCAGCCTCTTGAATGCTGGGATTACAGTTGTGCACCACCACACCCAGCTTTAGCAAATACAGTTCAATGAATAAAAAGGTGTAGGTAAAAATCTACATCCTTACGGTAAGTGTGAAATAATAAAATCATTGCAGTGCTGGGTATTGGACCCAGGGATGCTCTACTGCAGAGTTACAGTGCCTGTCAGCCCAGCACTCAGGAGGTTGAAGTAGGAGATATGAGATATTATTATTTTGAGATACGGTCTTGCCCATTTGCCCAGGCCCATAAGTATGTAAGATTTGCTCATCTCTCTATGGTGTTGGTATTGTAGGCTGGGGTGTAGCTCATAAGCAGAGTATTTTCCTAGCATGAACAAGGCTCTGGGTTCAATCCGCAGCCCTACAGAAAACCCCCAAAACCCTACCAAAACAAACAATGTTTTATCTAGGATGGGACTGTAATTATACTCTTACTTTAACTGTCCTACATTTTTCTTATATCTAAACATGACTTTATTTAGGCATATAAAGCAAATACTAGTTGCTATAGATAAGTTAGGAAACTTTTAAATGGGAGTGATAATAACACAATATCATTAATAATACATAGTTTAAATATTATATTCCCTATTTAGGGTTTCAGTAGTTCGTGAATATTCAGAGTGCTATATTCTAACATTCAAAGATACTTTTAGCTAAAGAATACTTTAAAAGTCAGTTATTCAATTCCAACAGCTTCACCATGCCCTTCCTAAGCCTAATGTTAGAATTATTTACCATTTAGGTAAGGAACTTTTGAAAATTTGTGTTTCTAAACTGAGCACGGTGGTGCACACCTGTAATCCCAGCACTTGGGAGGAGGATCGCTGTGAGTTCAAGGCCAGCCTAGCAAGACCCTGTCTCCATATACGAAAAAAACAAACCCCAAACCATACTGAGTTTGCAGGGAAAAAAAGGAATAAAAACGAACATTTGACATTGAAGTGTTATATTTGTGGCAACTACAGTTTATCATTAATTGAATCTTTAGTACATTATTTTGGTATCTGGCTCATAAGCTAGCAAGCTACACATAATGAGGACCATCAGGCCTTCTTTATACCCTAAGCCATGTAGGGAATTTTCTTTTTCTTCTTCTTTTTTTTTTTGGTAGGGAATTTTCTTACTGTGGAAAACAGTTCTGTGACACACTGGGTGATACTAAGGTACTTCCTCCAGGTGTGTGTTCTGGCGGTTGAAAGTGTCCCACCAGATTTGTTTAAACATCTCTATTTCTTCCTGAAATACTGAAGCAATAATATTTAATGATCGCTAGCATTAAGAGAGGTTTCTTCGTTTGTTTTGGTGTTTTGAGACAGGTTGTTGCTGTGTAGTTGAGGCTGGCTTTAAACTCACTGTGTAGCCCAGGATGGCCTCCAGCTCACAGTGATCCTCCTGCCTCAGCCTCCTATGTATGCCATACCATGTTTGGCAATAGTGGTTATAGGTACCAGGAAATGTCATAAACTCTAGAAAATCTGCCTTTGAAAAAGTTACTAATCTCTGACTGAGGAAACAAGTGCAGAGGCCTTAAAAGAGATGATAAAACTGTTATGTGGTGGAACTCGATTTGAACCCAGTCTCTCTCCAGCATCTATGCTGTGTTATAACTACTGCACTATGCTGGTTTTCGATCATTCCCTTAATGGGTCTCCTTACTTTTGGTGTCTGGCACATTTGATATGGTGTCATCTGGATACATCTTCCAGGATACTATTTCTGTCACCCTATGCTGCTTCAAACTTTCAGTGATTACCATTTCTACCAAAAGCTGTCACAGCATACATCACCCGCTAACTCCTGGCTCCAAACACCCCTCCCAGCCATGCCTTTCATCAGTCCTGCAAAACCAGCATTCCAGTTCGAGTGTTCTACTACTCTTCTTCTTCTTCTGGGTACTGGGAATTGAACTCAGGCCCTTGTACCTGTTAGGCAAATGTTTCAACGCTGAGTTGCTTTCCTGGCTATTTATTTATTTATTATTTTTATGCTATCAGAGATTGAGTCCAGGGGTGCGCTGCTACTGAGCTACATCCCCAGCCCTTTTAATTCTTTTAATTTGGTGGGGAGTTTTTTTGTTTGTATTTTTGGCTGTTATAACAGTAACAAACTGGACTCTTGAATAGCTAGTCATAGCTGGATACCACTTTTAAATATTTTTCTGAAATTTCTCTTCAAGACACACCAAGTCTTGTCAGTCATGTAGACATCAAAAAACATGGCCAGATTTGTACTTTATTAATTTATGCTACCTCAGTGAATATATTTGAATGACTATGTGGACAATTTGATTATAAAGAAATAGATTAAAAAATAGGCTTATTCTAAGAATAGCAATAGATAGGACCACTCATGTCTATATATATATATCAGTTGTTGCTGGGCATGGTGGCACACATCTGTAATGCCAGCACTCGGGAGGCTGAGGCAGGAGGATTGTGGCGAATTTGAGACCAGCCTGGGCCGTAAAGGGAGCTCAAGACTAGCCTGAACTGCATAGTGAGACTGTCTCAAAAAGACAAAAAAAAAGTAGAAATATATATAGATATCTACACATACACACACACATACACACATATCAGTTATGTATAACTGCCTAAGTTATGTTGTTCAGATAGTGATTTTTTTCTCACTCTGGTGCCCACAGTCAATTTCTTACTCAGATTGCAAAGTGTACGGTTTCTAAGACAGGTACTAGGCAGCAATCTAGATGAATGCTGTATGTTGCTATACTCAGTGTAGCATATGTTTCTGTACTACAGCATTTCAAAGCAGTAGCCTTTAACAGTACATTGTCTCTTGAGCTTCTGTACTATTCAACGTAGGGTTTTAAATTTTATGTATGTATATATGTATTTATGTAGGTGTTTTTGAGACAGGGTCTTGCTACATAATTCAGGCTGGTCTTAAACTCACTGTGTATCCTAGTCAAACTTGCAGTGACCTTCCTGCCTCAGCCTCCGAAGTGATAGGATTACAAGTGTGCACTACCACATGTGGCAGGATTTTAAATTTTAAAATTCAAAGTAATGAATGCCTAAAACATGAAATACTTACATTACCAGATCTCGTGGAAGAGAAGAGACAACCACGGGCCTGTGTGCTGGCTCGCCCTCCAGCAGGGTCACGAGGAAGACACTGCAGGTAATTTAACTGGCAGTATTTTCCCTTTTCTTTGTAGCTTGTAAACTCATGGTGTTTCTTAATACAACAAACAAACATGAAATGTTTAATGTACTATTACTGTGAATTTAAACTAATAGTTGAATACATGTTTACTTTTTATTTGAGCATTACAAACTAGGATAACTTGAAAAGAATTATGAAAGGAATAAAATCATAATGTACTGCAAACATGTACTAATAAAGACTTAAAAATACTATAGCTTTTTAATTGCTTAGTGAGTTATAGTAAATAATAATTTGGTATGAAAATAATAATAGGAAAATGTATTTTTAGTGTTAAAACATACTTGGACAATATAATCACAGAAACTCAGTGAACTATTTATTGGTACAAAAACGAAAGATGGATTATTTTTAGATGTAAGAAAGAAAATGGAAGAGATGAAGTATAGTTGCCATCTGCTTTCATTTCTGTTAGAAACCACTTACTCTGAGACCAACACGTATTTAGCTTTTTTTGCAAATAAGGTCCATATCTATTTTAAGCCACACACACACACACAGAAAATCCTAGAAGTGATTTGAAAGCAAGATATGAAACATTTACTGAAATATATTGTAAATATTTGAACCTTTATAAGCATATACTTAAAATATGTCTTGGTTTGGTAGCCTGAATTACAAAAGGAAGAATTTAATGAAAATGGATTGAAACTCTAATCCAAATGAAAACTGTATAATAATTTTCTAGACATTATTTTGATCACAAGACACATGTATAATTATAAATAAAATAGTAACCTGTTGGTAGGCACAGCTTTAGTGGTGAAGGCTCAGGTAAATTGTTTTTCTTTAGTCCTCCCGCATTCTTTATAGAATAAAGTACTTAGCTCTTAGCCCAGTGTTCAGAAGCAGCCTTTATCTAGCTGTAACTTATTTTTCCAGTTGCTTTCCTGCCACTTTTCTTCTTGAAGTCTACATTCTAGCCAAACTGAAATATCATTCTTCATCTCTCCTTTTTTTGAGACAGAGTCTTGCTATGTGTTCTAGGCTGACCTTAAACTCACTATGTAGCCCAGGCTGGCCTTGAACTTGCAGCAGTCACCCTGCCTCAGCCTCTTGAGTGCTGGCATTATAGATGTACACCACCATGTCTGACTTCATCTCTTTCTGAGATTTCTTTCTCTGGCCTAAGCTTGGGCTGCTCCCTCTCTCATTCTTACATGGCTTTCTAGGCCCAGCCGAAAGGACATTTCTCCAGGCTGTTTTCTCTGATACACTTATTCCCATCAATATCTGCTCTCCCTGACCTCCTCCTGGGTTAGGCGTTTCTAAACCTTTTCTCCATCATGTCAAGACTTGCCACCTGATATAAGACCATTCTTTGTAAACCTTAAAATGTCTAATATAGTTACTTATGTATGGTAAATACTGACAGATAACTAATCAAATAATGAATTAAATTGAACCTGGTAAATTTCAATAAGGTATTAGAAGTTACTAAAACAATCTAAGAAAAAAAATAAAAAATAAAACAACCTAAGAATTTAGTGAGCTGTTTGCAAAATAGCATACTGCATTGAGGGATAAATGAAACTTTATGCTAAGAGCAAAGGGGAACCTTTGGAGAGTTTTGGACAGGAAAAGATAGGATAAATAATTGAAGGATGCAGAAGTGTGGGTAGAAAGTTACTGTGAGAAATCCCACATTAAAACCCAATATTTTGTAAAATTAATAGACACTAATAGAAATTTTTTTAAAAAGAGCATGGTGTTACTGTGAGATCATTACAGTCATGAGGGATGAATTTTAATGTGTCAACTAGGACCCTGCAAATAAGGATATGAGAAGCATACAGATTAGGAGCTACTTCTTTTTGTGTGTGTGACTGAACTCAGGACCCTCACACTGACCTACATTCCCAGGCCTGATATTTTATTTTATTTTTTTTTATTTTTTATTTTTTTTGGTTTTTCTCCGGTACCAGGAACTGAACTCACGACCTTGCGCTTGCCAGGCAGGCGCTTTGCCGCTGAGCTAAATCCCCAGCCCCAGGCCTGATATTTTAACTAAAGACAAAGATTTGGGGTTATGTTCCTTAATTAGCTAGTACACATGAACTAGTAGACCAGAAGAATTACATATTTCCTGCTTATAGAACTTAGCTATTTCTGTGTTAGTCAGCTTTTACTACTCTAACAAAACAACCGAGATAACCTAAAAGAGAGAAGTTTTACTGACTCCCAGTTTGTGAGGCTGCAACCCGTGATGGCGTGGACCACTGCATGTGGGCCTGGGGTGAGGCGGCATGTCCTGACAGGAGCATGTGTGGGAGTGCCAGGGGCTGCCCTACCTGGCTGCAAAACTTCCCAGGGCCCACCACCTCCCACAGTGCCTGGGCTAGGGAAGAAGTCTTTAATTGAGTACTTTTGGGGGACATGTAGTCAAACCATAACACTCTCCATGGGCCAGATGAAGATGACTTCATAAGTAAGTGCAACTACATGCAATTAAATACATAAACCCATTCAAGTTTTAGATTTCTAACTCTGTGAAACTAAATGATGGAAAACTGCTGACCAGAAAATACCTCTACATTAAGCCTCCATGTCTACATGAGTCGCAACTTCTCATACCCCAAAGTGTTAATTGAATCTGGGTTTTCTGTACTCCTTACTGCCAGTAGCACTGATGATTTCTGTGGTATTCATCTTGTGCAGGTCCTGTGTTATATCCTCTCAGTCCATTATCGTAGTAACTTCTCACAGCATGCCTATAGGAAAGGCACCATCATTGTCCTGTTTTTACAGGCAAGACTCAAATGTGAAGTGATTGGCCTTAGGCACTTGGAACCGTGAGAGCCCAAGTCAATCTCGCTGTGAGGACGATTTTCTGAATCATTGTATTACACTGTCACCTTGGTTTTATTTTATGAGCAAATTTCTGCTTTGACATGGATTACAAAAACTGAAACCCTTAGATTTACAAACTAAGATTATGTAGAGACATAGTATCAGTTTTAACCAACATGATGGCAGAAGGATAGGTGAATTAATTGGGCATAGTGGCACACACTTATAATCCTAACACTAGCAAGGCTGAAGCAGGATGATTGTGAGTTCGGGGCCAGCCTGGAATGTATAGAGTGACTGTGTCTCAAAAAAAAAGTTAAAGTATATTATGCACAGTTACAGAGTCCCCACAATGAATAGATCATTATGTATGTAGAACATGTACCAATAAAATTAATTTTAAAAATAAGCTTAAAAGAACCCTGAACAAAACAAAAATAGGTGAATTGAGGAGCAATCGGTCATTGCTCCAGTTTTGTTTTGGGGCTAATGCAGTAGGTGTGTTCAGAGTGTAGGCAAAAAACATAAAGCATAGTGAGAGATAGTTATTCAAAGATTGGTCTGTTAGTCCTTCATTGAATAATTTTGGGTGATTTAGTCTTAGCATTTTCTTCTGTGATTTTAATAAAAATTGTTTATTTACTGGAAGTTAACTTCTTTCAGTTCATTTTTGTCTGCCTTGATTGTCATATCAGAGCATTACTTCATGCCACGATTTCAGTGCATAGCATTTAAAATAAGTGACTACATGCATGAGATTTGCTTTCACATACATAGAAATAGTATTCCAATATTATATTGGAAAACTTACATTGCTTATGAGTAGAATTGGATGAAGTTATTAGTAACCAAGTATGTATACCAGTCATTTATAAAAACTCACTACAACAATCTCATATAATAATGCTAAATTTATACCCATGTAACATTTTAGTTTTGCATAGCACACAGTAACTCACTGGGTGTAAAGCTCTGTGTATTGAAACATGCAATGTATGTAGTCTCTGGACGTGCATCAGTGTCCTGAAATTGATCTCACTGATGGTCATATTTTCTCTTAACTGCAAATTGTCAGTGCTGTTGTAGTCTCTACCTAGACCATATCGGTCTTTTTTTGCCTGACTTCTAGTCATCTTTCACTCATAGCCTTGATATCCTTTCCTTGCGGCTTTCCTTGACGCTGCCTCCTCCTACCCCGACCCTGTACATCATACTTCATTGTCAGAAAAATATTATAATTATTAACCTGTGTTTTCATCTGATCAAAGGTCATATGTGTTTCATTCACTTGCATTCCTGTTATGTAGAGTAAGTGCCAATGTGTATTTGTTGAATTAAAAAATAAGTGAGTGAAAAAAACATCTGCGTTGAGGACAAGGAAAGCTGCCTGACCCTTACAGACCATATTACATGTTTGCTATAATGGCAACTTTATTTTGTCTTGAAGAAATACATGGTTGCCCTTATTGTACAAGGAAATTATGAGTCAACAGATGGATGTCTTACTTTCCTTTTGGAGCTGTAATAAATTACCACAAACTTAGTGCTTAAAACACAACATACTGTACTCATTATCCTTAGACATCTGATGTGGTCTTTGAGTTAAAATCAAGGTATCTGCAGGGCCGTGCTCCTTCTGGAGTCTCTGAGGGAGCGTGTTTCCAGGGCCTAGAAGAGGGGCCACATTACCTGCTCATGGCCCCTTCCTTCCCCTCCCAAGCCAGCTGTGCAGGATCTTTGCATCCCTCTCACTGTCTCCCTTTATGTTTAAGGACCTTGGTCGTTAGATTGGACTCCCATGAGTAAACCTGGATAAGCACCAGTGAAAGTCAGTGTGATTCCATCTGCAGCCTTCGTTTTTCCTGGCCATGTGATATAAGATGTTCACAGACTCTGAGGACTGAGACATCTTTATGGGTCGTTATTCTGCCTACCTTCATAGCTCCACTTTCATGTCAGTTTAAATAAACTTGCTATCTTTTCTCCATCTAAAAGGTGCTGAAATAATACTTTGTTTACGTACCAGTACTCATCAGTGTTGTGTATGCATTGTAGTCATGCCATTTTATAAATGAAAGGAAAAGAGATTTTCACTAGCTTTGCGAAGCCCCGTTGACCCCAGGCAGTCCGGGCTCTGGAGGCCTTGCTGTTGGGACCCTGGGAGG